TTGCTTTTAAAAAACGCTTCATAGTTCTGGAAGTTTAACTATTATTTTTGTTGTTACTTCATCGATCTTTTGACTGCTTTCAACAACCTTTTTCTGATCCATCACTAAGCAATGAACAAAGTGCTTGCCACACCAAATCCTCACTTGATTTTCTATTTTTGTTTGCCCAAATAGTAAGTTCATCAGCATGACAGATAGGCTGTGTTTAGTTCGTGAAATTTAGGAATTTGACTACTGTAGTACTTTCGTTTTTATTTGGCAATTAGTGTTCAATCATGGACTTATTAGGCTCAAAACGTTCGTCTCGCGATTTCTAACCAAACTGTGCAATTAGTTTTTTTTCGTCTACATTTAATGCTCCATGCACATATCGCAAGATTCGATATAATGGCTACTGCAGCACTTTTTGGAAAACTTTTTAGGAACTAAACACAGCCTTAGTTATTTCCATCCTTATTTTAGAGTAGTTCTGGAATCGAGGCCCTTGTGCTGCTATGGAGGCAGCAAAACTACCAGCTCATCAACAAGACTTCCCATCGCCAGCCTCGATGTCCACCAACACCAGCTGCCATGCATGTGGCAGCAGCGACCTCCTCTTCACCTTCCCTTCTCCCCATTTGTAATAATCCCAAAATACCATAACCCGAAAATACAAGATTTTTAATTTTTTTTCGTAAAAAAGCTCTTGGATGATGTTGTGCATTTAGAAATATTAGAAGTTGCCCAAATTGAAATTCATTTAATTAGGGGACGCACTTCAACCATATATTGCATTAATAAACAAATCCAACATGGCTGAGTTGACTCTTATGGATTTTTGGTAACCTAAACCAACCCTTTCAAAAATATACATGTATACTTAAGCACGAGTATATATATAAGGGTTACCTTTATTTAAAATAAAAACAGAAATAGAAAAGAACAGAGGAAAGAGGCCAGGCAGTCTAGCCCAGCCGTCCGTGGCCCAAGCCACGCAGACAGCCATCCACCAGACCGCTCCTCTCCTATTCTCTCTCTCTCTCTCTCTCACGGGTGCCGAGTGCCTACAGGCAGGCCCGTCGAGGCCCACAGTTGTGGAGTTTGTGGGCATTATTCACAGTTGGCGTTGATTGGTAGGTTTGGTAATACTATCTATGGAATAAGAGATGTCAACAATACTCAATACGGGCCTAGAGACTTTGATTTGGTATGCTAGGAGTAATTGTATCATCTTGATGTAATTGTCCGAGACCCATGAAGTTTCCTTTATCTAAAAAACTTACTTTAACAGTATTATTGTAATCAATTATGATCTCAAGATGTTCTGATTGCTTCAGAAAAGTAAATTTCTTAAGGTTTAAAGATGTTGCCATGCATGGTCCTGGTGTGGTGGTATGCTTATACATTTCTAAAACATAATTTTTCCATCAAAACAAAATTATCTTGCATTGCAGTGAGGATTATTAAACTGTTTGCAGATCGTGTGTTCTACACCCAATGAATCGGCACGGTGATTCAAAAATTTAATTGCAGACAATAGAGGAGCAACCCAAAGCACTCACCTCCAACAAGTATGACGTTCTTTTACACTCGTTTGTAGAAAATGTCCCGTCGTTGTTCTTCACCGATACCAAAAAAAAAAAAAAGTTGTGATCAATAACCTCAGCAATGAAGTCCCAATTTTATTAAAAATACATAAAGAAGGTAATGGAATCATAAAGAGAATTCCATTTCTCTAATTAATAATGCTGAAGGGGTTTGTCATATGATGCGTGTTCGTGTACTGCCCATGGAATCCTTTCTGACTCGCGCATGCGTGCTGTGAAATCGTGGGGTCGGTTGACGACTTGACGGCCGCGACGCAACTGCTGCCGGTGCCCGGCAGCGAGCACGGCCTTCTGATCGAGCATCGGACTCCGACATCGGCAAACGCAAAGCAGCAGCCCAGCAGGCAGCAGGTACTCTGATTCCTAGCGACTCCAAGACTGAACTGCTTAGCCAAAGCTTTAGCCCGCTGGCTGCTAGTGGCAGAGTCTGAAGTGAAATACAGGGGGGCCAATTTGTCAATTGAATCTGTAAGTACATAAGTGGTAAACAAAATTTAATGTTAGTACTTATAATTAGGTCAAAGTATACAAAGTACATTTGACAACAAAATAGCTGAGGATAAAAAATTCTCTAAAAACGCAACATAAGATCTCGATTGACAACAAAATATTACTCAATTAGCCACTTCTAGTACGCATGCTATGTAGATTTTATATCGATTGAAAAGTCAGTAAGGAAAAAGGATAGAAGAATCAACAAGACTCAAAATGACGCATAGCAACAAAAGCAAAGAAAAACAAGCTAATGGATTAACGACGGTGAGAGCACTGCTACACAATTGCTTTTTTATTTTTTGAATGGAGGGAATGCTACACGATTGCTATGGGGGTGCTATGTATAGGGGCATGCATGGCTGACTCTGGCCGGCCGGTCACTAGCTCAGGGACAGGGGGGGGGCCCACTATGACCCTCACAGGCCTCCGCCAGTGCTGGCTGCTGCCCTACCCGTCTATCCCCATTCTCCTTTTAGTCACAAGAACATACTCATGTTTCTTCTTTTCCTGTCAGTTTCTTCAATTTCAATATATGGTCAGTGATCTGCGATCTGTACGGACAATCACACAGGAAAAGTGCACAAGCCATAGGGTATACAAAACTGATTTTTTTTTCCTGCAAGTGCAACTCTGAATTATTTTATTTCAATATATGATTTTTTTCCGGTATTGGATTATTGGTTTGATATATTGAAACATTATATAATTATCTTGCAGAATTGTTGAAACATGAAGATGAGTGGTGATATTGAAACATGGGTATGTAAGATTTCAATTCTATGTTAAGAAAGATATGCTTATCTATTTTATGAACTATGGCCTTGTTTAGATTGAAAAAAATTTCAACCCGATGAATAGTAGCACTTTCATCTTATTTGGTAAATATTGTCCAATCGTGGACCAACTAAGCTCAAAAGATTCATCTCGTGATTTCCAACTAAACTATACAATTAGTTATTTTTTTACCTACATTTAATGCTCCATGCAAACGGCTAAAAATTGATGTGATGGAGAGAGAGTGTGAAAAAACTTGGAATTTTGAGGGTATCTAAACAAGGCCTATGCATGTCCTTTTTATAATTAATTGCGTTTTATGATTCATATATTTGTGTACGAACATGTTAAATTTATAGTAGTTAAAAAAATCTATAGACCACCATAACTACGAATCCTGGGTACACCAATGCTCAAAAACCGAAGCACAGGTTCGCTTCTCTGCATGCTGGCATGCTGCGACGTCGGACGCAGCGGCGATGCCCTGCCTGCCAGCTGCCAGCTGCCAGCTCGTATGCACCCCCACCAGGCCACCCCAGCCCGTCCCGGGCCCACGCCCACCTCTCCTCTGCCCGGAGGCGACGTACGGGGGCCACGGCGGCGGGAAAGTCAGTAGGACTCGGACTCAGGAGTCGAGGAGTTGGAAGTGGAAGAGAAAGAGACTGGCCGCAGCGACCTCGCCCGGTCGCTTCTACGCTCCGTATCGTGGGGTGGTGGCTGACCTGTTGGACCCCCACCCATGTCTCGTCCCGTGGCGTCTATGTCGGTTCCGTGCGCGCGCTGGCGGCTTGACCGGCTGCGGGCGGGGAACCCCTACCCCTCGGCAAGTTGTTCGCGAAATTGCCTCACCAGGGCGCTGCCTCTCATCGAGGACCAGGTACATTGTGATCTGTGTGCCAGGCTTGCTGTGTGATTAGCGGTGGGTTGTGTGCCTTTTGGGATTGTTGGCCAGCTTATAATTTGCACAGACATGAGTTCTTTCTTACAGTATTTGTGTTCTTGTTGTTACAACAATCTATGCTGTGAGCAAATATCATACATACCAGGTCAAAGATTAGATATGTGTAGCCCCATGCTGTGCGAATGGAGCTCTGCGTGTTGAGATTTCTCTTCTGCTGTTTGTTTCCATCATCTGTGTTCCTTTCATGTGTACGCCCACCATCACCACCGATGCTTGAATCGCTCATTCAGACAAAATTCGTACTAATGGATACACTACCTGCGCTGCAGTTCAGCCATACACACATGTATTAGGTTGGCATGTTTTTCTTTGTATACATATGTACATCACTGCTAGTACTGCTGAATCATCAATTTGAGATATTAATCGCAGTCATGGAAATGCTTTTTTTGCAACATTGTTCTGTGATTCTATCATCCATGTGTTCCTTTCATGTGTCTGGACATTGTATATAAGCACCACAGCTAACACATACTAACTTAATGGAGACCTCAACCAGACTCATGCTTCCTTTGGTGTGTCTAAACATTATATATACACACAACCCATTCTTAGTTGCCATAGTTGAGACTTTAGTGCTAACAAACAGAGAAAGGGTACTCACTATTTTAGTTCTTAAATAATGCAAATGTTCATGCTTCTGATCAATGACTCCAGTTTTGTTGTTCCTTTCATGTGTCCAAACAGTAATATCAGAAGAAGTAACACTCGCTACTTAAATTAATAATGTTCTGACCTGGATATTTCTATCTCTTATTAGGTCTGCAATGGACTGCAGCTCTGATGAGTCAGTGCAAGATCAGGAAGTGTTTGTTTGGCCATGGATGGGCATCCTCACAAATGTTCCGGCCGAACAAACCTAGAGGGGTGGAGCCATACTGATGAAGCAGTTAGCTGATTTCAAACCCGTGCAAATTACTGCTGTGGATGGTGCCAATGGGTATACTGGCTACGTCGTTGTTCTTTTCACCAAGGATTGGATTGGGTTCAAGAATGTCGTAGCATTCCATAACTATTTCTAGTCACAACGCTTGGGTAAACCGGACTGGAAGGAGACAAAGCAACATGTGAAGTATGTGTTTGGATGGCTGGCAAAAGAAGAGGATTAGAAATCAGATGACCCAGTTGGTAGGTTCTTGTCAGCAAATGGTGGCCCGAAGACAGTGTCTGAACTGGAACAAGAGATGTCCAGCAAAACTGACAATCTCATAGCTAATTTTACTCAACAGAGTACCAAGTGTAATCAAATGAATCTCTCCCTTCAGAAAGTCATGGAAGAAAGTGATTTGTTGCACAAACGTTATAATGAAGGTACACTCATTGAATTCTAGTTGTGAAATATTCTTCTGTTAGAGCTTTATGGATGAAGGGCGGGCCTGGTGCAAGCGGTAGAGTCTTACCGCCTGTGACCGGAAGGTCCCGGGTTCAAGTCGCGGTCTCCTCGCATTGCACAGGCGAGGGTAAGGCTTGCCACTAACACCCTTCCCTAGACCTCGCACAGAGCGGGAGCTCTCTGCACTGGGTACGCCCTTTAGAGCTTTATGGATGTTATGCTCATTTGTATTATCTAAAATGATTGTGCCTATTGTATTTTTATTTATCCTTTTCACAGAAATGAGGAATATGCAGTCAGCTGCTCGCGAACATACACACATAGTTTTTCAGGAGACTGAAAAGCTGAGAAACGAGTTGGTTGAGAAAGAGAGTTACATCCAATGGAGGTCCAGGCAGCTAAATGAACAAGTTGCTCAAACTGACATGAAAAGAAGAAAACTGGAGGAAGAGAGGAAAAGGTGCATCCCCATTTCTATTAGTGCTACTTTTTATTGTCCATATCTTCTCTATCACTGTATCACATATCAGATAGTTTCTGAATTGTATTCATTGTCTTGCCAATAATGATTCTTGAGAAACATAAGGTATGCACATCCTCTTTCTTGTTGATACCACTGAGTTTTCTTTTTAGTTTTCATGCACCCAAACTTATTTTGGGCTCCAAAACTCAAACAGGAAGAGAAGGAGGTCGCTGTGAACAGAATCCTGCAGTTCGAAAGGCAGGTGTATGAAAAGCAAAAGCTGGAGCTAGATATTGAACAACTTAAAGGCAAACTGGAGGTGGTGAAACACATCGAAGGAGAGGGTGTTGTGAAGAAATGTTCTGAGGAGCTGACATCAGAACTGAATGAAAGAATTGAAGAGATGGAACATCTGGAAGATCTCAATCAAACTCTTGTTGTTAAAGCAAGGATGGCCAGTGATGAGATTTGACGTGCAAAGAAGGAGCTGATCACGGTATTATCATATGCAGTATATTTTCAGAAAATCTGCAGAGACATGCCTTATTTAGATATGCATTTTTCCAAATTTAATCGTATTTAGATTCATGCCTTCTATAGATGTGGATTCCTAAAGATTATGCCCATCTGTCCTTTTGACTCTGCCTGAGATAGATTTTGTGGATATTTTGCAGGGTTTGACAGATTTATTAGGTCCTCGTAGTCGTAGTAACATTGGAATCAAGAGGATGGGTGAACTGGATGAGAAGCCCTTTCTTCTATCTTGCAAGCAAAGGTATGTTTGCAAACAGTGTTTACTGCTACCATTTGGTGCTTTTCTTTGACTTGAACTAAATATGAGTTTTTTCTCCATGAAGCAACTTGTCTGATGAATAATGAACTGATGTCTGATGATGATGTAGCAGCTTAAACCTCCTGTTCCCAGGTTCCCCCACGGCCCCACTAGTATGGCCGTAGACACCCAGTGTCCCACACCATTATTTAGATAAGGATGAAATAGAAACATCTAGTGTGCATGTTTTCATTTTTGTAAAAGTTGAATACTAGTCATAAAAAATTTCATTAAAAACATAATACCATACGTCCACCAAATTATACCATAATGACCCTTGCTCCTAGTCAAATTCTCCCACCCTATATTGCTTTTACCTTGAATAAACTTGTCTCACATCATCTTGTTAACATGGGAACACCCTCATAATAATTGCTTCTTTGACTGCATCCAAGATTTTCTTCTCTAACCAGCCTAGAAACTACTTGAATTGATATGGTCTTCTAGAGTGAGAGATACAAATACCTAGACTATTGAGGCACTTTCTTATGAACTCTATAAATTCGATCTATGTGAAGAGAATAGCAATTTGTGCCCTCAGGCAACACATGAAACACCAGTTCTCACTGAACAAATAGGAGGATTATTTGCAATATTTTTGCCAGATAGTTATTTTGCACAAATTATTTTTGAAATAGTAAACAAATGTAGCAATTTACATATCGTTGTCATTCAGAACATATACAACAGGTATTATGGATCCATGGAATTTTTTCCAAGGACATTTATTTTGGATTTGTGGACATTTGCCCAAGGTTTTGCTTGCAATATACATGGCTCCATATTGCATACAATACTTATCATTTATCTTATATATTATCGCAAGCAAATATTGAATATGCACATTAGTTACATATCTTCCTTTCAACATATTGGCGGTGAAGCTCTCCGAGAGCCCAAATAGGGAACAGGTTTCGGTAGTTACCATAATTGAAGTACATGTAACGGTTAGACACTCCAACATGTTCCTGCCACCAAAGCGATAGTACCATAAATATTGTTGCATGTTTAGAATGCTGTGTATGGTTCATGGTAAAGAGCCGAAGCTATGAAGATCATCAATGTCTTGTTTGGAGAACGACATGGATTTATGCACAAGCCATATTTCTGGAATGCAACTTTTTTGTGAAAGCACAGAGGACAATTCCACTTGCACAAGTAAACAGAAAGTTGGCACGAGAATGTTGTTTTGGTCAGTTGTAAATTTATTATATTGGGAAGATGTTAGCTTTTTATGTACATGATAGTTCAATTTATAAAATGGTAAAAGAAACTTAATTTGATGGAAAAAATATCTATGTGTGTAAAAGAATTGAATACTTACTTGTTGTGGAAAGTCGCCAGAGTCCAGTTGCATATTGATTAATTCTTTTGCAGCATGATATAATGGTGTTGGATCTCTTTCAACCTGCTTTCCATTCCCACGACAATGAAATAATAAACGGAGATCAGGATGGTTTTGTTCATAATTTGTTCACCGAAATTCAAATGCTGTAATGCAGAAAATATACCTGTCCAGCATATAGTAAAGCCAACATTGCCCAAGCAGTGTTGACAGCATGAGGACTGCTTGCCTCTGCATAAATCTGCAAAATATTATAATAAAGACTCAGCCAACATAGTTGTTTTTTGAAAGAGTGACATGATACAATGCATTAGGAGTAGCCTTAAGATGCACTTGATAGTTGCTGAGTCTTTGAACATGGAGACAATTAGTTGTCACTGTTAGATTTTTTTTTTAGCTTAGTTGTCACTGTTAGATACCTTGCGCTTGTACCCAAGTGTGGAGAATTCATTTTGTTAATTGCTAGAGAAATATGTAAGCAGATCCCTAAATGCCATTTTTAGATTAAATGCTATTTCAGCATAACTAACATAGCAGAGGCCGGTAAGTGACTTCATGATTATTCTATCAACTCGATGTAATGATTGCAAATTAATAAAACCCTTCATAAAAAAACAGCAAAAACTAGCACAATTCAAACATCTGCAGACACTATACCACAACACCATAATATTGACATATGTGAGTTTGCTAAACTATAAAATTGTCATCGATGATTGCACCAGAGACACTTTCACTTAGGATTGTAGTTGGAATAGATCTTTACCAATAGACGGTAGGTTTCTGCAGTGACTTCTACCAACCTTAATGGAGGCTTAGATTTTGTGTTGTTGGATAGTGAGCAGCTTTGGATACTAAGTAGATAACCAAATACAGCCATTGAAGTATCATATCATATTTAAAGACGACCAGATTGAAATCAGATATGAGCTAACAAAACCACTTAAGAAAATGCAAGCATAATCACATAAGGAAAAATCAATATTTACCTTAGTTTCACTTGAAAGATATGTTTCTCCCCATCCACCAGTACTTAACTGCTTCGATAAAAGAAAATTGCATGCTTTTCTGATTGAATAACTATTTTTGTATGTTTTTCCAGCTGCCACTAGTCCTTTTACTGCAAATAGTGTCCCATAGATGAAACAGATACCCCAAGTACCGAACCTGTTGAATAAGGAATAATCTAGTTATTAGCATAATTAAATTTTTAATATTTTTTACTTAATAAAAGAAAGTTCTAGGTACCATGAGCCATCCGGTTGCTGTTCGTTTTCAATAAACTTTGTTGCATTTTTGACACAATTTTCTATCTCATCCTTGCGGTAGCCTGGACACAGATCTCTGAATGTAACCAAAGCTTGTAGAACAGATGATGTGCATTCAACGCATCTGTCAATTGGTTTTATGGATTCAGATGATAGGTCACCTCCCATAACTAAAGGAGTCGTCATTAGAAGAAAGGAAACAACTGTTTTTTCATCTAGTAAGGACACATATTCATCACTTACGGATTATCAACCATAATGTTTGCAAAAGTCTCACAAGGGTTGAGAAGCTGATGACAAGGAAGCCAGGTCAGTACAATCATGCAAGACAGGCCAAATCAGAATAATTTAGGACAAAACAGAATAATTTGGAGCAAAATTTAATCTGTGCAGAACACTGAATTGTTTTTAAAAAACGCTTCATAGTTCTTGAAGTTTAACTATTATTTTTGTTGTTACTTCATCGATCTTTTGACTGCTTTCAACAACCTTTTTCTGATCCATCACTATGCAATGAACAAAGTGCTTGCCACAACCAAATCCTCACTTGATTTTCTATTTTTGTTTGCCCAAATAGTAAGTTCATCAGCATGACAGTTAGTTATTTCCATCCTTATTTTAGAGTAGTTTTGGAATCGAGGCCCTTGTGCTGCTCTGGAGGCAGCAAAACTACCAGCTCATCAACAAGACTTCCCATCGCCAGCCTCGATGTCCACCAACACCAGCTGCCATGCATGTGGCAGCAGCGACCTCCTCTTCACCTTCCCTTCTCCCCATTTGTAATAATCCCAAAATACCATAACCCGAAAATACAAGATTTTTAATTTTTTTTCGTAAAAAAGCTCTTGGATGATGTTGTGCATTTAGAAATATTAGAAGTCGCCCAAATTGAAATTCATTTAATTAGAGGACGCACTTCAACCATATATTGCATTAATAAACAAATCCAACATGGCTGAGTTGACTCTTATGGAATTTTGGTAACCTAAACCAACCCTTTCAAAAATATACATGTATACTTAAGCACGAGTATATATATAAGGGTTACCTTTATTTAAAATAAAAACAGAAATAGAAAAGAACAGAGGAAAGAGGCCAGGCAGTCTAGCCCAGCCGTCCGTGGCCCAAGCCACGCAGACAGCCATCCACCAGACCGCTCCTCTCCTATTCTCTCTCGGGTGCCGAGTGCCTACAGGCAGGCCCGTCGAGGCCCACAGTTGTGGAGTTTGTGGGCATTATTCACAGTTGGCCTTGATTGGTAGCTTTGGTAATACTCAATACGGGCCTAGGGACTTTGATTTGGTATGCTAGGAGTAATTGTATCATCTTGATGTAATTGTCCGAGACCCATGAAGTTTCCTTTATCTAAAAAACTTACTCTAACAGTATTATTGTAATCAATTATGATCTCAAGATGTTCTGATTGCTTCAGAAAAGTAAATTTCTTAAGGTTTAAAGATGTTGCCATGCCCATGCATGGTCCTGGTGTGGTGGTATGCTTATACATTTCTAAAACATAATTTTTCCATCAAAACAAAATTATCTTGCATTGCAGTGAGGATTATTAAACTGTTTGCAGATCGTGTGTTCTACACCCAATGAATCGGCACGGTGATTGAAAAATTGAATTGCAGACAATAATAGAGGAGCAACCCAAAGCACTCACCTCCAACAAGGATGACGTTCTTTTACACTCGTATGTAGAAAATGTCCCGTCGTTGTTCTTCACCGATACCAAAAAAAAAAGTTGTGATCAATAACCTCAGCAATGAAGTCCCAATTTTATTAGAAATACATAAAGAAGGTAATGGAATCATAAAGAGAATTCCATTTCTCTAATTAATAATGCTGAAGGAGTTTGTCATATGATGCGTACCATAAAAGATACCAAGCAATCCACTGCATCATACAACCGCTGTCCTTGTATTGGTTCCCCAACTAGTTCTGGTGGTAACTTTGATAGCAATAGCAGTGCCTGAAGAAATGAAACTGATGGTTAAATGTAAGAAAAAAAATTATATGCGCTTTTCTTAATATAATTAGATGGAGAAGAGTCCTCTCAATTAAAGTTTGCATATAGGAAGCCAGCAAAGTTTCCTAGAAAAAGTTAATCTCTCGCACCCTTATAAAAGGGAAGATTAATATTTTATTATCTTTCCAAACAAAATTTACAACTTTCAATGCAGTGTTACTTCTGATAACTTCCGAATTTTGTTTTGGAAAATCGCCAAACGCACTCATGCGTCCAAAACCCCTAGATGCAGACCGTCAAAAATCTCGAGATCTACCGTTTCACTCCTTCGGAGGTGCTTATAGGGGTAGGGTTTGTATCGGTTCATAAGGATAAGTGTAAGTACGTGTTGTATCGTGTGATTTAAAAAAAACGTATATCTAGCTTCACCCTGGCCGCGCCCACGAGGTCGCCAAACGCAGCCCTGCCGGGCCCCATCGCCAGTTGGGGGACGAGGACGACCCCGTGCGCTCTGCCGCAGTCGGCCACGCGCCCATGCCCGCCCGGTTCCGCGGAGGACACACGTTCGCCGCGCGGCCGGCCAACCCACGTTCGTGTCCTTGCCCCAAGCCAGCAGAGGCCAGCGCCTGTCCGGTCTCCGTTCGCCCTCATGCCGCACCGCACGCTATCTCCCCTGCTTCCTCTATCTTGTCGTGCTGCAAGCGCCTCGCCTCGTGCCAATGCCGAACCCATCGAGTGCTCTGCTTGATTTGTCTGCCAACGACGACACGTCGGCCGCCTGCTCTGCCTCGCCTCGTCCTAAGACCGCCCCATCAATGTGGTGCCTCAGAAAGGATCCTAGGCGTGCCAAGGGAGCCAGCCTCGCCACCATGAGGCATCGGACCGCTGGCGCGCAGGGGAAGCCGCGGTCAACCGTAGCCAGTTGTCACGATGCCGCCGGTGTCTGAACCTGAAACTGAAGGAGGCACTGACGATGGCGAAGCAACTGCTGGTGGAGAAATGACCCAGGAGGCAATACAACCGACAAGGCCCAAGAGGAAGGTCCAGCCCAATAGCAAGTACTTCGGCCCAAGTTGGACGAAGTCGTAGGGAGAGACGTTATCTGAGAAAGGGGGGAGCAGAGGAGAGGGGGAGGAGGAACACGGAACCGAATTGGCCGGCTGTGTCCGGATTGATGGCGAGCACCGCTCGATGTATCCCTAAACCCACTCACTTTCCGTGTTGATCCATTCTAAACCAGTGAAATTGCTAGTAGTGTCGTAACACCCGTCTTCTCCAAGGGAACCATCACACTTGCTGATTCTAGATGAGCTCCGGTCCATGTCCTGCCCCTCCATTGACCCTGCTTAGCCATGGCTTCATCGGAGCGTCGCCGCGTGGCTGCCGCTACGCACCGCCGCCACAGGTACGCGCATGACCGGCCATGCCTGGCCGATGCCGATGTCGCCCCTGGTCGCACAGCCGCCGCGCATGCGCCGTGTGTCAAACACATGCGGACAAACCAGCTGGCGACCGAGTCAACCACTGCCGCTGCCGGACAAGGCCAAGAGAAAAGAGAGGGCCGCCGAGGGAGAATTTTAGAATACTACAGGGGTTACGTGTAATCCATTAGAATCAAGTAAATAGGGCTAAAAATATGTTGTGGTTTAAAAAGAACACTCGGCAAACTAGCGTTTGCCGTAAAAGGGTTTGCCGAGTGTTTTTGGGGCTTCGCCGAGTGCCCCTGGCAATCGGTAAAGTTCCTGAATCCGGTAGTGCTACTTGCAACATTTAACTCTTGTAAGGTGCTGTGATCAGTTGTATCACGTGAACTATGTAGTTATTTTATATTTTTTTTAAAAACTAACACATTAGAATATTACACTTCAACATATTATATTTATATATATTATTGTCATATTCATCGACATGCAAAATATTACACTTTACACAACATATTATATTATATAGGTGCATTTTTTTTCTTGAGTTCATCGACATGCAGCCTATAGAGACAAAATGAACAAATGCAAAAAGAAAAAAAAACAGAGAAATTGAGAGAAGAGATTTGACGCCGTCATGAATATTTGACGGAATGAAGAAACATGAAGGGGAACAGGTGGGCCATAGAGATTTGACGCTAGGGGAAAGAGATTTGACGCCGTGGCTTCTTCGTGAGCGTGCCAGCGTTGCCACACAGGTGGCCACAACAGATCGGATGACACGAAACAAACCGGCTCAATGCAAGTTTCGTACGTTTTTCAAATTGTGGGAAACAACGCTGGCTAGTTTCATGATCATGAAACTCTAATCCCCTCTCTCTTCATCGATACATGCAAAACAGTATTTTTTGCTGACATGTCACTCCATTTAATGTCTATGAAACTCCCATGACATCTCCATTGAGACTGGCATAAGAAGATGGTCATATCTAGTGGGGTTTAGATTTTACCTTGACGATCTTGTTTGCATTAGTAGTACCATATCTGTAATGCCTAGTTTGTTGCTTAATTGGTTGCTTGAATTTTGGTATGCTTGCTTATTGCACTTTCATGCATGCATATAGAAATGCAGACTGTTGAGAACAAGCCAGCCGAATAACCGGAATTCAAAGAAGTAATCGAGGAGTATGTGGAGAAGATTCATGAAGCTTCTGTTGCCCTGAGACTGCTCAAAGCAAGCCCCAGATTTGTGTGTGTACAAGTGAATTTCATAAAACTGCTACTATGAGTTCTACTAGTATAATAGGATACATATAACTGCCATGCTTAGGATCTTCGGTAGACACGAGTGACCTGCTGTCCCTCATAGTAGGAGTTACTTATCTTTGCTACTACTATCATGCAGGTGGATGATGAAAACTGGACTAGACCAGGCGGGCTTGTGATGGTAAGACAGTGCGGTCTGTCTCAGTTAAGGACCGAGTCAAAAGGTAGTGCTTTGGTCAAGTTTGAATGTGACAGATGCATACCGCCATATGGAGTCAGGAAACCTATGTACCTATCTTATCCTAGGGCTATGAAATGCTACGTCAAGCCCTTGGGATGTAGATGGGTGATAGAGAATCACAGCTGTAACTCATAGTGAGCTTATCTAGGACATGGCCTGTGGGGTTGGGTTCTCTGGGCGTCCGGGTCTGTTCAGTCCTTATGCGCTTAAGATTCAGGAACAACTAACTTATGCGGACCTAGCAGGGTTTGTACATGCGTCTGTTTGGTACCCCTAGCTGGTTGTACAGTTGATTCGAATCGTTGTCTCTCCTCAGATATGAATACTACTTCCTATCTTACTATTGTTGTCGCAAACAACTGGAACATAATGGATTGTGAAGGATGATGGTATTACTTAACTTACCTCATGCTTGAAAATAGTACAGTTGCTTACCTATCATGGTTAAGTAATGAACTTAGTATGACTGCTAAAATTTACTTATAAGGGCCCACTATTAGTAAGCTTTCTGCAAAAGGAACAACAAGGCAACAAACCAAATTGAGAGTTGGGAGACTACTCCCACCTAGTCGGATAAGTATTAGCTTGTTGAGTACACTTCAGTATTTAGGGTTTTATTCCCCATGTTGCATATGCCGATAATGAGGAGTGACTGGGTCAACACCACTTTTCAGGCCTATTGACGAGGTCTAGGATGGGTGATCCTTGTTTGCCATTTGGTGCGGGGTTTCCTCCTGGTGGGCACAAGGAGGATTCCTTTCAAGACGTCCTTCATAGTTGCTTTTATATCATCATTTGAGTTGTTAGTTCATGTAGAGGCAAAACTCTTATTTTGCTAATTCATCCTGTACATGCAAGTGTTGGACTTTTGCTTTCGTTGTAATAAACTCTTAAGTTTGTGATGTATGTATGAAACTATTTGGAAAACTCTACGATGTATGAGATGATTAATGTTGATGTATAAGCTTATCACTTATTATGGATTCTGGAAAAAAGTGGATAGTTTCGAGTTCTCCCATGTGGTGCACTTGATGGACTACCAAAACTGAACTTGATAGGTATCTTGGGTACTGAGTGTCTAAACAAGGACGACAAGTATGCTTGGGATTAAGTTTAGTTAGGTGGTACGGCCACAGAAGATTTGTCTGGTTCTATATATTAAGAGTAGACATCCAGATTAGTAGCATGTTCGTTTGGCTGCGGCTTGTCGTAAACGATCATAAATTTTCAGCCGAAATAGTATTTTTCTCTCACACAAACCAGCCAGCAGTACTTCTTCACGAACCAGCAACGAAACGAACTAGCCAACCGAACAGGCTATAGAATATCTTCACCTGAAGTGCCTCTGCAGTACAGTCTGATACAGACCATCCATTATCTGATGTGGAAAGTGTCCATGAGCCTTTAGATCTATGTCGGTAATAAGTTTTGTAATCAGGATGGTCTTCACGAATCTAAAAAACAAAATACATGTTAGAAGTTCATATGCAAGCATTGTTTTGCTTAACAATAGAATCAACATATTAAACATTGTACCTGTGAATTTTTAAGAAAATCATGAACTTTTGAAAGTGTTGGACCAAATTCTTTTGCAAGTTCTGTGGAGCAATATGCCCGTACAATAAGGGCAGCTTCCCAGCACTGAACACCATCGTATGCCTGGATAAGTTTTTATAACGGTGAATAAGTTTTTGTTACAAAAGCTACAAGAAATTCTGGAATATACACCTTTTACCATTGAAAAAATAAGGAAAAAAGTTACATACAATGTGTATGTAGAAAAATAAAATGGTGGATGTAAAAGGCAAACATATGTGTGCTACTCCTAGGTTGTCAAAATGAATGAGGTCCGTTTCCCTACTCAGGAGGCGTTTGGTTCTCACGAACCTCATAAAGTTCAGTACCTGTCATATCGGATGTTTGACACTAATTTAGAGTATTAAACATAGACGAGTTACAAAACTAATTGCATAGATTAAGACTAATTTGCAAGACGAATCTATTAAGCCTAATTAATTCATAATTTGACAATGATGTGGTGCTACAGTAAACACGTGTTAATGATAGATTAATTAGGCTTAATAGATTAGTTTCATGAATTAGTCACAACTTCTGTAATTAGTTTTATTATTAGTATCCGAACACCCGATGTGTGCTTTAATCCCTAGATCCAAACACCATCTCAATCTCGAACTATCAATGCCCAACCATCATGCAAGGCCTTCTGGACATATATAGCGGCCCCAGGCAGAGGTCCCACGCCGGTGTGACGGGCTCAGGGGCGCGACCCGATGTCCTCAGCTCCCGTGGCGCGAGTGGTGGTGCTGAGTTCACTGGCCTGCCGTCCCTGACCAGCACAATTTTTTTTGTTTCGTGAAATAGGCATCAATGCCGGGTGAGAATCCGGTAGTGAAACGCTGGATGTATCACTGTCGATTACCTGCTAGTTGCGGAATCCAGCAGTGACTGTTTGTGGTGTAGTGGATGTGAACAGATAAAGAAAGTATATTGCAACAATGTGTAGTGGGCTGAGTGCCTCTAGATCTCTTACTTAGCAGAGCTCTAGCATGAATGGGAGACTAGCTTTATTAAAGTCATGTGATACTGAGAACCATGAGACAATATATGTACTTAGCATATAGGCCATAAAACACTGTACCTTTGCTTTCATGCCATCTTCCGCAAGCCATAAATAATCATAGATCCTTGGAACATGCTTCTTGAAAGCATCTGAATTAGGATTTTCTATCCAGCAACAGATCATATTTAGTGCCTACCATTGAGAAGTTGGCAAAAATTTGAGGAGTTACACATTCCAAATTATAGAGGTTTTATAAATGGGGGGTTGCATTAATTTATAATATACTTTACTTGGTGATGGCTCTAAAAAGATCTTTTGAACCAAAAATCTTGCCATTTATGTTAACTCCCCAGTCTTACAATAGCATTTCTGGTTTTGACTTTAGTAATGAAGCTAATAGTTTTCTTTTTGAGCTAGGCAACATATCCATATTTTCCTTCAAGTTACAATATATACATATGCAAATTGGTAATTGATGGTGCATCGTTTTGTTTCAAATAAATTAGACCACACTCATTTTTATAAGTTGTCAAGCAAGCAATCATCAGTACGTTACCTTGTTTACTGGACAGGCGCCAATGTATTTAGTAGTTTCATCTTCATAGTGGACATGCTTCATCAGTTCATCCAATGCTGTATCCCTTATCTTAGTAAATGGCCAATAATTAAACATTGGCTCCACAATTTTATTAATGCATGTCCAGGCAACAGTTTGAACCCAGGGTTGTGGGAAACGAAGGTCTTCCTGCACCGAACACCACATACAACTGAAAATCAATCTATCAAAACAGCATATATGTTTTCCCTGTAGCTACCCAGTCAGCAGGAAGCAATGTATCTTACCTTTCTACACAAAATGATGATAGTGAAGCATAAATAAGTTATTCTTGCTGAATCTAATTAAAACTGGAAGGTACATACACATCTATTCTTGTAGTATCTTCCTTTGATTAAAGAAAACAAGCTAAAATCGTTATCAGTATTTTTCAGTCCCCAATACAACAAGGTAACAGCAACCGAAAACTATTAGGTTGTGATGCATATATATAGTTCTATCAACTTATTACACACCTACCTTAATTGTACTTGACCAAATTTTATTGTCACCACAAAGTAGTAATGCATCTTAATGTTTGCTATCTTAAATGATCTCATTCACATAATAGAGAGAACCAGTGGTAAAAAAGTGGGGCTTGAGTTATGGTTCACATTGGACTATAATGTTTGTGCCCTTTGTACCATTTTTGCTAGGTCCACATGTTAGTAACACATCACACTAATAGTGTGTGCTTGTGTGAAAAAGAAATTAAATATGAGAGCTAGGGGCACACATACTCAAAATCATGTGCACTCTGAGAAAATGCTGAGAATGTTTATCTGTCTATTAGGGCCATAGTCACCAAGTTCCTGGTTCTATTGGGTCGATGTGGCTTGCTACTTGAGAAAGCTTTATCCAAGACCAGGACTACCTAATTCAGGCAATTCAAATTTAATTAGCAAATGGATTGATGGAGGTGGATCACCGAATAAGCCTAGATATTGACTGTTTGGCATTGAAATTATGGTGGATCATTTGTGCCATGACTTTTTATACACTACTACAGAATAAGCAATCATTGGCGGTCATATCACTGCCAGAATTTTAAAACCGAAACTGATAGATACATCACTGCCGGTTAATAAGGAAAAAAGTCTACTGTTAATAAGAAAAAAGTCTATCACTGCCAGAATTTTATACCAACCAACTGCTGGTTGCTAGTACAATCCGGCACTGCTGTTTATCATTGTCGGGCTGTAGTGCCAGCCAGCATTGATCCACAGTCGGACCCAAAATTTTTATGTATCCCGGTTAACTCCAAACTCACGTCCATCCAGTCCACACCTCTATCCGTTCTCTCTCTCCGCATACTTCTTCTCCTCATGTGATTTCCTCTACGCCGCTCGCTCCTCCCCCATTGGACCTCCCTCGCCGCTGGCCCCTCCCCCTTCCCGCGCCGTCTACCTCTGCTCCGAGGGCTTCGTCATCTCCGTCGCCGTCGACCCGCGCCTGTTTCGCAGGGAGGGGCGCGACACCTCGCCATCGACTCGCGCCTGTTCGTCGGGAGGGGCGCGACTACCTCACCGTTGACCCGCGCCTGTTCCGCCGGGAGGGGCGAGACTACCTCGTCGGCGACAAAGCGACGGATCGAGGCTGCCGCCGAGGTGCACTTCCGCTACGCCTGAGACCCTCACCCGGATCCGGAGTGCTGGTGCCCGATGGAGGCGGATCCAGATCCAGCGGCGGCAAGGAGGAAGAAGGTGCGCCCGGCGACGGATCCATGACCAGGTGTATTCCTTGCCAATCCCATGAACATCTGCATCGTTCTTCTTTGTGATGTATGAATCCTTCTTTGTCTGTGATGTACTGAATCTGTGATGTACTGAACTTGTGATGTACGAATCCTTCCTAATCCTTCTAATTTGTAATGTGTTGAACCCGTCTCCTCTGTGATGTACGAATCGATTTGTGGTTGAGTTGATTTGTGATGTGTTGAACCCCTCCTCCTTTGTCTGTGATGGAGTGGCAGCGGTAGCCAGCGAGCATGGTGGCGGTGGCGACGGCAGCAGTAACGAGCATGCTCCAGCGAGCATGCTTTGCTTGCTGTATTCTTTTTTTTTTTTTTAAAGCCTATCATTGATGGGTGAAGTACCAACAGTGGTAAGCCAGGGGCATCACTGCCGCTTTCCCAGTGCCGGTTGCAAATTCGGCAGTAATAGGCCTTTAGGAACCGGCAGTGTTTCCCTTTTCTATAGTAGTGATATGAGGATAAACTCACTTTGTCCACTCAGAAAAATCATTGAGAGTGGTGTACGTCCTAGGAAAAAACCACACTTTTGCTATCCTACAAACAAATTGTCTGGCATATTAGTCATTTTTTACTCGATCAGATGGGGACATAAGAGCGATGTTGGTAAGAAATCATTTGATAAACACATAGTATTTCTATATTGTGCAGAGAAGACCTGACTCATTTAATTTCAAAACTTTACTCTGATCAAAAGAAACAAGAAAAAGGGTGTGTGCGCTTCCACAGAAGAACATGACTATACCAATGAATGAACATATGGATATAATTGGCAGTAATAAAAAAAATACCGTGATCCTCTAAACCAATAAACAAATTACTTCTGCAGTATGAAGTGTACTACTTGTCCAAGAAATAACCTATTATTCAATAAATTTATCTTGAACCAAGAATTTCTTTGTAAAGCTTCTGAAAACTTAATTTACATTACAAACCTTAGCACAAGTATGACGAGCTTTAATCCAATCGACATTGCTGTATGGTTCACTATAGAGCTCCTTTCTTAGTGCCAATATTGTTGGAGTAAGTGTCCCAACAAATTTCTTACCATATAGGTAAGCCATCGGCACATAAACTAAGCGACAAAAGCACCAAAATCGTCCTGTGAAAAAAAAAGGATGACCTATTTGAAATAACAACAAAAGAAATATGGAAAAATTAATGTGCTTTCATCTACTAGAAGATGTACAGTAGAGATTTTTTTAGGCCTCATCGCTACTGGAAATGAGAATTTTCATAAAATGAAAATAAATGTAAATTTTCTTGATAGTACACCGACTGGGATAGAGTGACAGGGAAATTTAAAAATATCTAACGTCAACCGTCAGAAATAGTTTTCATTATGGTACGTAGCCGATAGGAAGATTTTGCCTTTTTGTTAGACTTCAATATCCCCTAATATGAACTTGTGACCGCAGATCCAAACATAAAATTTTCAGTACAACACTGAGTGTGCGCTGTATCAACAGTGATGCACATTAATGCCATAATATTGTATTACTGATTTTCATATATCAAAATGTAACCCATTTTTTACGGTTTCGGGCCAGAATATCCAACCTAGCAACATGTAAAGCATCTGCCAACCAGTTCTTGCTTCTAGATCTACTTATACCCCCCCTCCCCCTTTAATGGGTTTTGTTTGTAGAAAAAGCTAGAGCCAACCCCAAACATAGAAAGCAGAAGTGTAATTATTAATCCAACCTGTACTCTATAAGGTACATATATTGTATGGTACGCCCATGCACTCCTGGAAAAGGGAATATATCTGACGGTGGCTAGCTTTTTATGGTTATTAACCCGACAGAGGTAGGTTCCTAGATTTGTCGGATTTGATGGCGCGTTGATGTTGTTCAATTTTGTTATCAGATTTTCACGACAGAGGTATGTTCCTAGATTTGTCCATTATCTGGTGACATTTGATTGATTTCTATGCTCAACATTTCTGTTATATGTGACATTTACAAGAAGTGTCTTGAAGGGGCATAGACCTAAAATAGACATGGCTTTAACTAATCTTTCTTTTTTGTTTCTAGAGGTGTGCCCTCAAGAAGCCCGTCGTCTCTATAAATCATTCCTACCAAAGGAACAAAATGAAAGGTTCTCCTATTGCAATACTAACAGGTATGATGTAGGATGGTAATGAACGCTCGCATGATGTTGGATGTCATTTGGGCCATTTTTTTAGTTTGTGGAAGTTGATTTTTAGAGGCAGGTCACATAAGCTAACCCCTATGAAAACGATTTATTGTGGCAGGCAGCTTAGGTGGCCCACCTATGGAAATCTTTGTAGAGGTTGTTTCTTTCCCACCTCTGAACATCATCCATTTAAAGAGATCTTTATGCAGAGGCATGTGAAAAGAAAATGCCTCCAAAATGATTTTCACATGCCTTTGTAGATCAATTTTGTAGTTAACACTACACCCAAACAGACATGAGTGATAAAAAATAGAAAATATGTGTTTTTCAAGATTCAAACTCAAGACTTCAATGTTCGCATTCTTTTGAGCATCCATACTAGCTAAGTTACGTGACACTTGTGACTACACAATGGATGCTATTTTTTAACTACAAAATTCATAATCTTATATTGTATATTTGACACTAAACAATCTCAAATGAAAAAAGTTGTTAGTTCTAAAGTTGTAGATCTCGTTAAGTACTACAACTTTGATGTTGCCAGTTTAAACGCCATGTGAACTCTACATAGTGGTACTCTGTTTCCATTTAATTGTCTATTTATCATGTTTAAATGACCATTTAGCCTATTTTATGGGCCCTTTTGCTTGAATAAGTGCTAAACGATAGGTGAGCTACCATCTGCTTTATAATATAAGAAACTAAAGCATGTATTTAAATAAAACAAGACTTTTACACTAGACCTATTTCTTTCATGCGACTTAAATATATACATTAGTAATGTGGTTTGATGTATTTTGGAAATAGCCAAATAACTCATATTTTGTGAGACTGTCAGAAATATTTATCATGACAAAGTACATGTCATAGCAAAGCATATACATTGAATTTTTTAATAAAGTAATATATATTATCTGTATAAGTTATCCTAAGATATACATGATGTGAAATGATGACATAAATGTTTAAGGGAAATAGAGCAAACATGTGTCATCAGTAGTGTTCCAAATTTTATTCAATAAATATACATTTGCCCATCGAGGACTGTACTGATTTTGTTTTAGTCAAATCTTGAGTAAGCCATCATGAGGCCTTGTTTGGATATAGTAGTATTCGTATCAATCCATATATGTTGGGTGGATTGAAGTGGAACTTGAACTAAATTCCATTTCAATCAACTCCAACACATGTGGATTGAGGTGAGTCCGATAACATCCAAACAAGGCATGAATGTAAGTAGTGTAGGATGATTTGTGAAGAGTCCACGTACTATTTATCCACACATGTGTATTAACATGTCCAGCTACAATAAAATAACCGGTTGTGCAGGCAGCATAAGACAGTATAAAAGTTGTGTACGTCGACATGCAACCTTAAGGTAACCTAACAAAATGAAAATTTCAGTAATGATCATCCTATGAAGATAGCTAGTACCTGGATGTATTGGTAGAAAATACGGGATAATCCATAATTCGGGGATCATGGCATTGTTGCCGGACCAATCATACAAACCGATCACCTTCATTTAAAATGATGCAAAAAATTTGTTATAAGTTAATGAATATTAGTTTTTAATCTAATGTCAACAATATCAGGTGCAACTTTGGCTTCGATCATTTTCAAAAAGCTTAGTAATTGAGTCCAACCTCAAAGAAATGACAAACAGCTATTATGTGTAGAGTATGCATCATCAGAATATCACACTGGAAAACATTTATACACAGAAGATAATAATAGTAAACAATGTAAAAGTACAAAAATCACTTTTATTTTGGGCCTTAACTCCTCAAGCTGTTTAAAAGTGTCAATGAACTCGAACTATGTAACCCCTCTGTCCTTTAAGAGTTCATTTTGTGCGGTTTTGCAAACCTGGCTTCACTAACAAGAATCTACCAAGGATAGGCATCACAACTGTAAGCATCTAGGTCTCCTAGGTAAGATGTCAGTTTCGGTAGTTAATGACAGCCGTGCTTGTGCAACCAACAATTTTTATTGAAGGAACAATCACGGTGTTAGGTTGCAACTTGCAATTGCAAGGCACAAGGAAAATGAGAGGCCCCCAATTTGGATTCCATGGCAATAAAGGACTTAGAGAGAAGACTAAAGACCTTTCTAGAGCCAAGTATCAATGAGTATATGAAGGATACTTGGGTAGATTTTGTTTTGCAAGTTTTTAGTTCTTACCGTACTATTAAGGGGGATGAAAGGTTAGTAGCTTGACCAAGTGAGTCCATGGCTTTAGTTATGCACACTTGGGGAGATGAGGGGCGCGGAGGCCAGTCCTAGAGAGGATTCAAGGGAATCGAGTTTGACTATAATTGGATTAAGGATTCAATATAGTTAGAGTCAAACAAAAAAAATTGAACTAGCCCGACTGTCTGCATGTTCAGATTATCAATGGGTCGGACAGTTGTTGGCAGTTGCCAATGTTGTCTAGCCAAATCAAAGCTAAGCCCTACTGTGGAAGACTACGAAGGGGACAGTCCGGCAGAGAGGTCAAGCAAGTGAACCAACAACTAAACTGGTGTCCGGCCAAAGGAGTTAAGTGTTAGAGCATCTTGAGCAGGGCCCTATTCAAGTGTCTACCCTACTTTTGAGGGCTGGTGGGCAAAAATCTCAGTCTAGTAGGACTCTACTTAGGCCCACAAAATTAGGAGCCCCTTAGGGCCTGTTTGGAATGCGGGATTTTTTCCCTGTTCCTGCGTTTTTCCTGTGAAATTGAACTGGTTCCTGTGAAATTCCTGTGAAATTCCTGCGTTCCAAATATGCCCTTAAATTCCACCATCAAGCCCTCATTGCTGGGGCTCTGGAGGGCTCCCCTGTATTCCTGTTCTCACTATTTCACTCCCGCTATCCCACCCGTGCCTTCACTGTGCCACCTGTCCTGACACCGGTGCCCTCCCACACCTTCTTTCCCACTGCTAGTGCCACCTCCCGTGCCACTGAAAAATCTCGTAACGCCTGCATCCCTCCCCAACGCGTCTCTCTCGGCCGCCGTCGACAGATCATGACATGGCTTGCTCGTTCCCAGTGCGGCACCCACCCCGGCGACCTTCTCCCTTGGTGCGGCGGTGTGAAGCCTTTTCCATGGTGCAGGCGGCACACGCGGGGCAACCTCCTCCATAGCGTGGGCGGCACTCCCAGTGGTCTCCTCCCCCGGTGCGCTGGCCTTGCCTCTATGTCGATGGTACTCCCTGCTACGTCCTCTTCCTCCGGCATGGCAACCTCGCAACCTCGGACGTGGGTGTCACCGGTGTGGTCCATCTTCCTCTGCTAGCTATGCCGCCTGCTACGCCTAAGTCGAGAGTTATTTGGAAGAAAAAAATAAAATAAAAAAGAATAAGACGAATGTGACTGACAAGTCTGTCCCACAAGAGCAGGACCTATTTGATGGCTATTGCTAGAATGGAGTTCAGAAAACATGGCCGTTAAAAGTAAGAGAAGCCCTCAAATTTAAACTAGACACTTGTTTAGGGAGACATTGCTGGAGTTGCTCTTAGCTATAATTCAATTGTATTGACTAGACTGTCCAACAGGATGCTAAGTGCAGTGTCGGATTATGCCTGGACAATTGGCAGAGCTATCACACACATGCCGGACTGTCCGACTAATGACCTGGGTGGTCACAGAACAACTGGTGATGTCATCTTACTGTTGGAGGGGTTGTGTGGTTACACAGACCGAACTGTTCGACCAATCCTCTTATTGAGTGTTGGACATTTGCTGATGTCATACTACCATTTGAGGAGTAGGTGGCGTGTCAGAGATTTTACACTGGCCCATGTACTTTGGAAAGGCACTTTTTCTGCACTATTACAATGGCTCTTCGTGGAGAACCTTAGTTGGTTTCAATTGAGGTCGCTTGCACCCCTGAAGGATAGCCACATCATATTCGAGAGCTTGAGCAATATTTGAGTGACAAGTGTGCATCAATAGGCCTTGGGTCTTGTTTGGTCTAGTGAGTTGTTATTCTTGGTGTTAGGAGCACCTAGATGTCTTAGTGACTATGGTGGCTGTAAGATCTCTTGGTGACTCTTATGAGAAGCCTTGGCTTTGTGACTTGTAGACGGTGTGTGCGATCTACCATTCTAGAGATGCAGAAGTCATATGCCTATTGAGCCTTGGTGACTCAAGGGCACTCAATCCTTGGTGGGTGTACCAACATGGACTAGAGGGGTGTCCTGGCCCAACACCTCGATACCACGAAAAAAATCTGGTTGTCTCTTGTTCACTTGCTCTTTCAATTCTTGCATTTACATTACATCTTGATATTGCTTGGCGCTTATCTTGTCTTGTGATCGCAACCTTACATTGAGTGCTTTGCTTGGATTTTTCCCTTGGTAGTGTGTTCTTGGCTTTTCAATTTTCTCACCTTAAGGACACATTTGTTAGTGTGTGCATCTTTGCTAAGGATATGCTAGTGTGATGGACCCAAGGATCTTGATTTAGAGTGACTTTTTAGTCCTAGGTCTCAACAGGCAAGCGGGCCGGTGAAGTAGAATTGCATATGCTAATATTGTTGTTATTTAAATATTTCAAAGCCCAATTCAACCCCTTCTTGGGCCATTGTTCCTTTCAAATGTCTCATCTTCTGTAACACCCTAAAATTTGTACTTTTGAAAATAGGATTAAAATGCTTTATTTATGAATTTTTGCGCACATGAAATATAGGAAAAATAATATTTTTCATCATATTAAAATTCATCATAAGGAGTAGTAACATGGATGTGCATACATGCCGGTGCATTTGATTTATTGCAATGAGTGGTTGAATCCAAAATTCAAAATGAATTCAAAATGCTTTTGAAAATGGCTTTCAAATAAAAAAAGAAAATTAGAAAATAAAAGAATTTAAAAAGTTGTAAAATTTATTTTTGAAAACCTACCAAAATTGTTCATTTTGAATTGACTTGCAAAGTGTATTTTAAATCATATTTAAACTTGCTTTAATTCATATTTGAAATTGGTTTGAAATAGGAAAAGAAAAGAAAAAAGAAGAGGGACTTGGAAAAAAAAAACCTTCTCCCTCTACCTCGGCCTGCCTCTGCTCCCTTGGGCCGACGGTCTGCTATCCTCTCTCTCTCTCAGCCCGGAGCCACCCTGGCCCTCTCCCTTCCCTTCATTCTCTCTCCCGGCCCAGCTGTCTCCCTCGGCCCACTCCGATGCGTTGGCCCAGCCGAAGCCGATGGCAGCAGCTCGCTTCCCTTTCTCCACTCTCTCCCCAACTGCTGGCCCCGCTCCTTTCCCTCTCTGCCGGTGGACCTGCCTTGTCAGTCCCTTCCCCTACCTCTGTCGTGTTGAGCTCGGACTCCACGCTGTGTTCATCTCTGCCCCCGCCACGATTCCTTCTGATGGCGTGCACCCCACGGCCTCCGTCCCTTAAATATCGAGCATGCGCCGCCTCTTCTGAACCCTAGAGCCTCTAACCACCCTCGCTCAAGCCCTAGCCACGCGCCGCACCGTCGAACCCTTGCCCGCTGCCGTCGAGCGCATCTCGTCGCTACCGTGCCTCGCCGTTGTCTCGAGCCGCTCTCCGGACTTCGCATGGAGGTAAGAAAGCAGATGGTACCGCGCTATGCCCCCCTCTTGCTCTCTGCCAGCTTCGCGTCGTCGATGAATTAATGTCGGCCGCCAAATCGAGCCACCGCACCCACTCTCGCTGCCTTGGTTTCAATCGATACCCTAGATGGTCCCTAGCCCCCGTAAGCCTTGCACCGACGAGCTTCTTGCCGTCGGTCATGGCTGACCACCGCGCCGACCGCTCTGTTCCGACCGGCCGATCCCCATCTCCCTCCCTTCTATTCTACACCGTCAAGCTCTGAATCAATGGTCCAGATCCAATGTTGACCCGGGTTAATACCAGTCAACAAAGTCAGCTCGACACTTTTGCACAAGAGACCCTCTGTTTTCCTTAAATCAACCCGACATCCACCTCTGTTCAAAAATATTTAGAAAGAAGTCCCTATTTCTTCTGTTTTCACCCCTGCCTTTTCATGGAATTGAACCCGCAGTCCTTGGTCGGTTTAAAATTAGATTTTATTTATTTTAAATTCAAAAATCAAAGTTCCATCTATTTACAAAATTGCCACTATCTTCATTAAGCCATATCTTCTCTGTTTTAACTCCGATTTGACCCATTCAAGTTGCATTAGGTTCGTAACGACGTAATGTACGTGTTAGTAACATTGTTTAGCATGTTTAAAGCTTTTGAATAAAATAGTAATTTGATTAATCTATATGAAGCTACTTTTTTAGTTAAAAGCAACTTACGCTTTTAACCTCTATCTTTTGTAAAGAAAATAAGATTAAATCTTATATTGGTTTTCTAATACAAATATGATTTGGCTTAAAACAATTTAGATATTTCTCTAAAGTATCTTATATATGTTTTATAATTAAAATAAATAAAGCCTATAGTTTCTTTTCGAAGCAAATCTATCGGTAGATGTATATTTTTCACCGTAGCTCCGATTAGAGTGCTTTTCGCGTATGTGTGTTCGTAGTAACGTGTAGAACATC